CTCATGAATAGCAAAATGGTGACAAGTAACTCCGTGATTCTGGGAGAAGTATCGGGAGAGAAGCGCTTCCAAAACGCAAACACCCAATGAGGGATCCAACAGAAAAGGAATCCAGCGGCAACATACCCTAAAGCTCGACTTATATTGATCTCTTTGGCAGAAATTCTTCCTGTGCCATTTGATGCATTCTGAAGCGAAGATGCCACGTTCTGCTGATGTTGCTTAATTTTGGTGAAAACTTTGTAGTAACTGAAGCAACCGACGAAAAAAGGCAGAACAAAGAGGATCCCAAACACGAGAAAATAGTGAATGATACGATTTTCATTTCTGAAAAAGGCTATAGAGCATACTGCATAACCAGGTATAAATTGAAACTTGTTCCAGCCTGTGAGTCGACCAACCAAAAGATAGAGGAAAAGGAAAAGCCAAACGCAGCTCAGCCAAATTTTAGACCTAAGCGGTGAGAATACCCTGTTGTAGTGGTTTGTCTTAACAATCCGCATATAGCGGTTAAACGCTGTCAAAGTCATGGTTGCTGGGGTTACATATGAGGCGAATAAATCCACAAAACCTTGAATCTGGCATAAGGCGTCTCCGAAATCCCATTTTCCGATGATAAAAACAGCTGAAGCCAATGGCATTTCAACTGTTGCGCAAATTAGATCGCTGACTGCTAAAGCGATAATATAAAGATTGGTAGTTGATCGCAGGTTTGGGTTTCTGTACACTGCTAAACAGACCAGAATGTTTCCAATGACACTGACGATGTTCATTATAAGGAGTACACTTGTTCCAGTTATAACTGCTGCGAGGCTTCGGAAGGGTAACTCTAAGTTGGACATTGCTTACTTTTGAATATCACTGTATCGACCGATTTCTGCTCAGCAATTTAGCTTAAATGTTTTTATCTCTATAAGGATACGGCTAGCACGACTGACAGTGCGCAAAGATTAATGCTAAAAGGGAATTATGAGAACACGATATATAACTGATAAACAGGGGGACAGGTGTTATTTAGTGACATTTGCATATTTTCTTGACATCTAATTCAACTTCCAAGAAGAAAAACAATAAGAATATGTAAGCATGATATATAAGCAAAAAGAATCAGTATGCTGATTGGCTGATAGCGAGTTAATTGAAGCCAAACACTGCAAAAAGTTCAATTAAGTGTCAACCATAACTGATTACTCGTGAAATTGATTTGGAACAAATTAGCTCCTTTTAATTTTTTGCGGTTTGCATCACGATAATTATCAGATGCAATAAAAGAAAATAGATTGAAGAACCGCTCCATAATTTTTTGGACCCCGAAAAATTCACTTACTGACCTAAGCTCTAAGGCAAAGTTGAAAAAAAACACCTCAACCAAACGTGTCATTTCAACTGTCTTGTTACTTCTGTGCCCAAAATTTCGCCTCGATCACTCCTTGATGACTACCACCTTGAGTACACGCGAAGGTCAGTATCTATTAGATAATTTCCAACAGAATTATTGGTACATACGGCGAGTAATAACGACTTCACAATGAACATTTCAAATTGGGTACGTAAATCTTCGATTGCCGAAATGGTCGCTAAGTTGTGACGTCACGTGGTTATTAGATCTGATACTATCCCGAACAGACGATTATGCATCGAAAAGCGAACGAGTGAGTTTTTTAATGCATCGCAACTCGTAAATGAAAATCGTTCAAACACTTTCTAAGATATGATATCTTTATTTTATTCATACTGAGATTTACACTGTGAAGTACGAAGCGAACGATATTACTTCACAGTGTGAATATTAAGTATGTACGAAATAAATTGCGTTTCTCTGACGCGAAAAAGTCCTTGATATACTTAGGACCGTTCTTATGAAGATATCTTTACAACATGATAAGAGACTGATGTTTTCTCCTGTGCTGTAGCGTTTCCATGTTTTAAATTAATACATAACAGATCCTCCTATAAAATAGATTTGCAGAACCCAGCAGGGACCTAGGAATGTCATGATTAGCATCTTTCACCCGATTCACCTGGACTCTCCACCCTCCCAGAAGAGGGGAAAACAGTAATCTAAATGAGGCGAGATAAACGATTTATAAAGCCTTAACGTTACATTTTTAGGCACAAAACGCCTAATTCGTCTGAGAACGCCACTTTTGGCGTATGTCTTATGAATCTGGTTTGAAATATGTTCTTCAATGGAAAACATGCTGTCGAGTTCAACTCCAAGATTTTTAATAGTTGGCAGTTAAATGATTAATCGACAAGAGTATCTTGGAGAGAATCGAGAAAGGTTTGCTTTCAAGGCTTCCTGTTTCAATAATTGGCCTTTATCAACTTTTCAGACAACCTTTACATTACCTCAGCCCCTTAGTAATTGTGTATTAAAGTTAATTGATGTAGGAGATGAAATAATTTGAAGGGCAATTTGGAATGAATAAGCGAGATTAAGGCTAGAAAAGAAAGAATAAAAAAAAAAAACTTGCCCACGCCCCAGGGGTTGTGCAATTTGTAGTCTTCAAAAAATTAAAAGGAGCTAATTTGTTCCAAATCAATTTCACGAGTAATCAGTTATGGTTGACACTTAATTGAACTTTTTGCAGTGTTTGGCTTCAATTAACTCGCTATCAGCCAATCAGCATATTGATTCTTTTTGCTTATATATCATGCTTACATATTTTTATTGTTTTTCTTCTTGGAAGTTGAATTAGATGTCAAGAAAATATGCAAATGTCACTAAATAACACCTGTCCCCCTGTTTATCAGTTATATATCGTGTTCTCATAATTCCCTTTTAGCATTAATCTTTGCGCACTGTCAGTCGTGCTAGCCGTATCCTTATACATGGGGTGGTCTTGACTTATCGCTTAATCAATCGCCTACCGCCATTTTGTGTTTTCGACGATGCTTTTAATCTCTCTGTTTATCACTCGAACATTACTGTCTTATTTACGATTTCTTATTACTGAACACGGGAAGTAGTTTGTAAGGAGGCCTTTTTAAAACAATGACGGTTCCTTTCATTTTACTGTTACTGCCCGGGGAGAACCTAAGTATTACACAAAACCAAACTATTAATAGTTCTTTGTCAAATGAGACCTTGTTGTCATCCGTTTGAGGGTTGACCTTGGTTTGGCTTCTAGTTGCTTCATGCTAAGGATAAACTCTGGCTTGATGGGCAACTTAGCTCAAGTATAGGTTTTACCTATTTTGACACAAGTCAGGAAATGGTCAGAGAAAAAAGGTCCTTCTAGGTCAGGGAAAAGTCAAGGAATTTTAATTCCTTGTGGAATCAGAGGAAATTAATGTTTTTCAGACAAGTTAGGGAGAATATTTTTTTTACCAATTTAAGTAATTAAGTAGGTTTTTTATTGACGTGAAATGTAAATAAATTGGTTTTCCTAAAACAAAATTATAATTTGGTTTTAGTGGTACATACGGTAGCATATCCGCTTAATGGCTCTACCTTCATATATCAAATTCCAGATTAAATTGTAATTTAGAAAAAGCAGACAACAAACGTGCTGGATTGTTTAAATATTGGTTAATAAAAATTAAGAGATGCAGATGTTAGGTTTTCAACAAAATCAATCCTTTTTCCATGTTGTGTCAAGGAACTATAAATTAATCTGCCTTGCATGAGACTCACTGAAAGCATATTAATAAATAATTGGGTGGAGAGAATGGTTGTGGGGTGGTTGGAGGTGATCACTAGAGCCAATTTGGGAAATTGTAAAACTGGTCAGGAAAATTTTAAATTTGCTGGGGAATTTTGTAAACCTATGGCTGTAGCAACCATGTTGCAAATACATGTACTTCTGTCTCAAAGTTAACTGAAAATGTCTTATTTAATTCATAATTTGTAATAATATCATATCATAAGTATGTTATTCTTTTTTATTGTCCAGATTCTTTGTATTGTTTTTTTTTAACATTTCCTAAATGCCTCTTTACAAATATTTCACAGGAAGCCCCAAATAGCAACTTTCCCTCTGTGGCATAGTTCAGGACAAATACCTTTGTACTGAAGAAAAACAAACAAGATTTGTCACTTGAACACTTTGTGGAAGTATAAAAGTCAAGACCTAAAGTTCAAATTACACCTTTGTATACAATTGGACAAGATGAAGTTCAGGGGTAGGACATCAAGAATGTTACTAAATTAGAGAATCTCCATAGCAGAGAAGAAAAATTCCACTTGTCTCTGATGAAAATGTCATGGCTGTGCTTCAAATTAAGATGAATGATTTTAAAGGAAATTTCCTCTTTAATAAAAAGAAATATTTCTCTGTCTTCAATTGAGTGTGAGAATGAACTCAATCAGGATATGGACACTGAGTAGGAAATTTTAATGTGGAAGATTATGATGATCATGAAGTTTATGTTTAGTCACTGAACGTTTCCTTCAGCATATTTGGGTCATCATTTCCGTCATTGTTGTTGTTGCATGAAACTGTGTAACTGCTCTGACCATGGCATTGGATGTTAACATTGTACTTCATTTCACTTAAGTCATGGGTCCAAGCTTTAGTTTCTTACTGCAGAAGCAAGAAATAATCTGACTATTTCATAGTTTCCTCACTTTTACTTTATCTGTTTATTTAGAAATAATGTATCTTCTTGAATGGCCTCGATCGAAGTAGTTTAATGTGGTTATTCTTATGTTCTGAGTTTGATGATTTTCGACATGGCAAAATTCCCTTTTGGTGCTCCCTGCTGACACAGGCGGTGTGCGCACTCTGATTGTGTTGCATCGTGGCAGGAGAATGTGAATTACGAAAGTTTCAACCTCCAGCTCCTGTTTTGTTAAGATCTCTGAGTATAGTTGACTATGTCTTCAGGAAACTGTCCCCGTTCATTTCTTCCAAAAGTTTGGTATCAGCTTTGATCAAGCCGTAAGTACGTTTTAGTGTTAAAACCGGTATCAAACTCCACGTTCTGAAAAATAATTGATATCCGAAACGTGCGTATATATTTTCTTATGAAATCTAATTCAGTTCTGAAGCTGTTTACTGCTCCTCACTTGACCGGCCCTCGGTTGGTTGAATTTTCTCCCCGTTACACCAGCATAAGAGTTTGACAAATTCCTTTCGAAAATGAGGATTTGTTGTAGCGTAAATCACGGGATTGATCGTGGCACTCATGAAGAGAAAAATGGTGACAAGTAACTCCGTGGTTCTTGGAGAAGTATCAGGAGAGAAGCGCTTCCAAAACACAAACACCCAGGGAGGGATCCAACAGAAAAGGAATCCAGCGGCAACATACCCTAAAGCTCGACTTATATTGATCTCTTTGGCAGAAATTCTTCCTGTGCCATTTGATGCATTCTGAAGCGAAGATGCCACGTTCTGCTGATGTTGCTTAATTTTGGTGAAAACTTTGTAGTAACTGAAACAACCCACAGAGAAAGGCAAAACAAAGAGGATCCCAAACATGAGAAAATAGTGAATTATGCGATTTTCCTTTTTAACAAAGGCTATAGAGCATACTGCATAACCAGGTATAAATTGAAACTTGTTCCAGCCTGTGAGTCGACCAACCAAAAGATAGAGGAAAAGGAAAAGCCACACACAGCTCAGCCAAATTTTAGACCTAAGCGGTGAGAATACCCTGTTGTAGTGGTTTGTCTTAACAATCCGCATATAGCGGTTAAACGCTGTCAAAGTCATGGTTGCTGGGGTTACATATGAGGCAAATGCATCCACAAAACCTTGAATCTGGCATAAGGCGTCTCCGAAATCCCATTTTCCGGTGATAAAAACAGCTGAAGCTAATGGCATTTCAACTGTTGCGCAAATTAGATCGCTGACTGCTAAAGCGATAATATAAAGATTGGTAGTTGATCGTAGGTTTGGGTTTCTGTACATTGCTAAACAGACCAGAATGTTTCCAATGACACTGACGATGTTCATTATGAGGAGTACACTTGTTCCAGTTATAACTGCTGCGAGGCTTCGGAAGGGCAAATCCAAGTTGGACATTGCTTACTTTTGAATATCAGTGTATCGATCGATTTCTACCCGGCAATTTAGCCTAGATGTTTTATCTTTATAAGGATACGGCTAGCACGACTGACAGCGCACAAAGATTAATGTTAAAATGGAATTTTGAGAACACAATATATATCTGACAAACGGGGGGAGGGGGGGCAGGTGTTATTTGCATATTTTATCGACATCTAATTCAGCTTCCAACACGAACAACTTAAGAATATGGATAGAAATTCAACAAACGTGCCAATTATTTCCAGAAAGGGAATGATAATCTTGACTAGCCTTTTCTAGATTTCAGTCATCACCATGATGTGTTACATTTGGTTGCAGTGAAAGAGCTCGAATGAGTAAAAAATCGACACCTTGAGCTCAGGTTAATTACGAATTTTACGAAAACTTTCGTATTTACTTTAGAAGTAAAATTTATTGCTTATATGTCTATTTATGCAAAAAGAATCAGTTTGTTCATTGGCTGATAGATAGTTAGTTGAAGCCAAACACTTACAATTAAGCGCCAACTATAAATATTGTTCGTGAAATTGATTTGGCACAAATAAGCTCCAATTAATTTTTAAAGACTACAAATTACACAACCCCTAGGACGTGAGCAAGCTTAGTTTCCTTTTTTTCTTTCTTTTAGAGCCCCAATCATAGTTATTCATTCCAAATTGCCCTTCAAAGTATTTCATCACCTAGATCAATTAACCTAAATACACAAACACTGAGAGGCTTAGATAATGTAAAAGTTAAGTCTGAAAAGTTGAAAAAAGGCCAATTATTGAAACATTAAGCCTTAAAAGCAAACCTTTCTCGATTCTTTTTAAGATACTCTTGTCAATTAATCATTTAACTGCCAACTACTAAACTTCTTCAAGTTAAACTCAACAGCATGTTTTCCATTGAAGAACATATTTCAAACCAGATTCGTAAGGTATACACCAAAAGTGGCGTTCTCTGGCGAATTAGGCGTTTTGTGCCTAACAATGTAATGTTAAGGCTTTATAAATCCCTTTTCTCGCCTCATTTAGATTACTGTTTTCCGCTCCTTCTTGGAGTGTGGAGAGTACAGGTGAATCGGATGGAAGATGCTAATAATGACATTCTTAGGTCCCTGCTGGGTTTTTGCAAATCTACTTTATAGGAGGATCTGTTCTATATTATTTTAAAACATGAAAACGCTACAGCACAGAAGAAAATATCAATCTTCTATCATTTCATAAAAATGTTTTCATAATATCTGTCCTAAGTACATCAAGGACTTTTTTCGCGTCAGAGAAACGCAATTTATTTCATACTGAGATTCACACTGTGAAGTACTGTCGTTCGTGTCTCTCATTGGGCTAACGATGTATTTTACAGTCGTTCGCGTCGTACTTCACAGTGTAAATCTCAGTATGTGTGAAATAAATATATATCTTGGAAAGTGCTTGAACGATTTTCATTCACGAGTTGCGATACATCAAAAAACTCACTTTGACTCCTATCAAAGATTTCCTATAACTCAGACAGATTCAAAGAAAACGAGTCGTTTGACTTGTCTGAAATATACATGAAAACATGGGAGCCTAAATGCTAAACCTGTTCGTCAATGAATAATTCGTTTGGGAAGATTCCAAACAAGCAGCGCACGAAAGAAAAAAACAACCTCAGCTCATGTAACGCTGCGATAAAAGGCATGGTTGCTATAACAAAGGCAGATAAACAATGTAATAATTATTTTCTAGGCAATTTTCATTCAACAACCGTAGCACCTCGATATCGATCATGTTCGGCAAGCATCACATCAAATTAATAAAAGGAGTAAACATCTAAAGAAACTCTGGTGCTACTTTGGTTGGAGAGTATAGTACGTGAATTGGCCACCGTAAAGAGTTTAAAAGCTGATGTTTTGGGCTTAGCTATAACATGCAGAAAATGGAGCTATGATAAACAATATAATAATTATTCAGTCGATCACCCTGTGTAAAGAGGTCCGTTTTAAAAGATCGGAATGTTTTTTTTCCATAATTTCATTCAACAACCTTTACTGAGTCCCAACCTCGATATCTCGTTTTTAGCAACCAGTCAAACAAAGCTAGGAATAATCTTTCAGGTGAAATTTAGTCCATGTGTATCTCCCGAAAGCAATGTTAGTGGAATTTTTGAACGATTTCTTGTAGATTAAGAGGTCAATTATGATAAAACATGACGTTTTTAACACTCCTATTCTGTGAAACCTGTATTAAGCGGCCACGGTCATTTCCCGTGGGTGACCGCTTAATACAGGTTCGGCTGTATCACTTTACACTACACTTTGACCTTGTGTTTTGAAATAACGTACACAACACAAACCGGAACAACACTTTCAAAATAACTGACGAAAATATGCTGCCTTTGCTGTGACATCTGCAAACGATAGACATTCGAGTCTTCTCGGATAATGGCGATAAACCCTCGGCCCCGTCTCTTGCATTTTTTCTGCACTGGCTTGCAGGGGACGTTAAATAATCCTCCTTCTTTTTCGCAAATAGCACGGAACATAGTTTCTGATGTTGCGATTTGGCCTTGTTATTGTTTACACAGGCATCCATTTAAACCAGTTGAACCGGGCCACCCTGTATAAATATCGGTAATAGATAATCAAATAAATAAAAATAAATAAATCAGATTTTGAGCGCGAGGTTTCTAATATGTGATAATTGAAGAGGTCCGAATCAACTATCACGCAGGGACTGCGAGAGAGAATAATATACACGTTTTGGAAAAACTACTTATTCATCTTTCGATACTTAATAACAAGACGGGTTCAAGTTTTCATTTTCTTTTGTTTACAACTACACACTGTTTGGCCATTCTCTTTAATCACTATCCGGCTGTTACGGAATAGATAAAGAGTAGCGTAGCCAATCAAATTGCAGCGTTTGTGATAGAACGCGAATATCTTATTAAGGCTACTTTCCTGGAATGTAATTAGTATTATCCTAAAATGATTTAGAAGGCCGTTTTTAAAAAAACAGTTTACGAAACTGACAACGGATTAGTAACATCCCTTTAAACTGAAATAGACATTGATACCAAATTACGTTGCAATTGCGAATATGACTAGGATTCGCTATCTAACGCTGAAGCGTTGCAATATTCCGTCAGGGGTGTACAAGCACAATAAACAATTATTCGAAAAACAAATTTCTCTCTTTTTCGTTTTGTTTTGTTTTTATTTTGTTTTGTTTTTAAATGAAAATGCACTAAAAAAATTATTTTTTATCTATAAAGGTAGCTTAGATCGAAGAATCGCATTTAATATCATAACTGATTAGTTATACATCCTTTACTTAATAATTTACACTTTTGTGAAAAAGAAAATTACAAATTCGCCGTTTGCACCTCCTGCTTGAAAAGTGTAACGTGCCATATGCTCTCGTTTGTAATTGTACTGGTCCAAACGTTCTGATATGATTCATCTTCGCTGTACAGCAAGTTTGATCTTTTTCCCACAAGGCAGGTAAGACTGGAGATCCAAGTTCATTGGCTAGATAAAAGTCGTTACCTTTGAAATCCATTTGTACACCAGTCCCACATACAGCCCTTGAAGATGCATCAAAGCTCCAAACGACAGAAACTTAACAGCAGCGAAAGATCTTCAGGAGAGCATTCTTCAATTCTGGAATTCTGAACGCATAAATTATTGCGTTTACGGGAGAATTGCTAAATTGTAAAAACTTGATTATAAATATTGTCTTGAACCAAAATAGGTGGAAATTACTATACCGACGTCCAATTCAAACAAGAAATTTACAATTTGAAATGGAAGCCAAGTAAATAGAGAAGCTCCTGTTATCAACAATAATGTTTTTGCCAACTTAACCTCTATATTTACATGATTATTGTTCTCGAAGGGAGACTTTTGCTTTCTCCAAAGATAATCAAAGTGCTCTGTGAGCAAACTCGTGAATTGACACATGATTTTTTAGATTATATTTAATGTTATATGGTTTAGGGAATTTTGTGGTTGATTGTCATATCTGGAGTACGAGCAGTAGTTCGGTGTTCGCTAATGTAGCAAAGAAACAAAGTAACGTTGGGATAAGAAGGCATTACAATTGAAATGATCATGCTATTACATTTGACAAGGGTGGATGATGTCATGTGTTTTAAACGTCTATCATTTTTGTTTCTGGTTTAAAAGAAAAGGTTGGAAGTAAATGTGGGTGAAAAGTAAAATTTACTGTCTATCATTGCAAATATTAGAAAATCAAGGCAATATTGTCTTAATGAAAACATTAACGATTCCCTCTTTATCAAATGAGACAAACGGGAACGAGTTTTGAGTGATATAACTAAGCCAAGCCTGTCACCGTCATTTTGGATCTCCGCCTGGGTAGATTTAAGTCACGTGCTAGGCAACGTATAATCAATAACAAGATAGAATTTCATTTCAGGCCTATTTATCAATTTTGTGGTGTATAACTTTCGCATTTTAGTACGTTGTATGTATGTTGAATCTTCAAATTGTCTTGAAACTTAAAAGAAAATTGTTCTTTAAAAATTCACTGAAAATCGGTAGCTAAAATTGTTTGTTTAGGTGTTATTTGATTTTCGTGTTAACTTGTAATTTCCTCAGTCGCCGGCATCTTTTTTTGCTTCACACAGGAAAAACACACGCGACGAGAGGTAATGATCAATTTTGTCCTTAATCTCACGGCATAACAGAAAAAGCTTTTGAACATCTGTAAACTCCGAGCGCTTCGCAGTAAGTGATATTTTCAATGAATCTTCGGATTGTTTTCAAGTTCAAGGATTGTAAATTATAATTTTATGAAAAACGGAGGTTGTTCTGTTATTTCAGTGTGAAACGTGAATCCTTGCATGCCTGCCAGTCGCTGGCGCCGCTTGTTGAAACTAAAACGAAAAAAAAAAACTCTTTTAAGATTATCATTGGCTTCTTTTTCACCCCACCACTATTCTTAGCAACAAAGGTCGCCATTTCGTTTGTTTATTGCTCGCCAAAA